TGACTGACACTCATACTACTAATAGTACGACTGTTACTGTTACTAATATGACTACTGCCACCACTACTAGTACTACTACCACTACGACGGCGACTACTACTACTACTACAACTTCGACTACTACGACTATTACTACAAATACTACGACTACTACAGCTTACTACGACCTACTACGACCTAAGACTACTACTACTACTACTACTACTACTACTACTGCTACTACTACTACGACTACTACCACTACTACTACTACTAATACTAGACTACGACTACTACTACGATTACACCTACAACTACAACTGCTAGTACGACGACGACGACGACGACTACTACTACTACTACTACTGATACTACTTCTACTACTACTACTTCTACTACTACTGCAACAACTGCTATTACTACTCCTGCTGATACTACTACAACTAATACTTCTACGGCTAATGCAACAACTACTACTACTACTACTACTACTACTACTATTAGTATTACCACCTCAACGACGACTACTACTACGATTACTACTACTACTACCAGTACTACTACTACTACTACTACTACTACTACTCCTACTACTACTCCTACTCCTACTCCTACTCCTACTCCTACTCCTACTCCTACTCCTACTCCTACTACGACTACGACTACGACTACGACTGAGACTACGACTACGACGACTACTACTACTACTACTACTACTACTACTACTACTACTACTACTACTACTACGAATACGAATGCGAATACGAATGCGAATACGATTTCTACGACTACTACTACTACGACTACTACCGCTGCTACTACTACTACTACTACTACTACTACTACTACTACTGCTACTACTACTACTACCACTACTGGGTAATCGGCCGTTTCGTTGTCTACGTTGGTTATTTTTCCGAAACGTTGCACATCCAATGCGTAAGGGCGATGACGGCGATTGCCTCATAACATCACCATCATCATCGTCACAGCCGGACACGCCTACGAATTTCTTACTGCGGAACCCGTAGATGAATGACCCTTTCTTAAATGCTGCTCGATGGGAAATACATTCATCATATGGAAACCGTCTTGAAGACTTAGAGAAAATCCGCCCTGTAGAATCATGCACAAGTCACCCTTTAGACCGAGCCATGAGCAATGAGGCATCCCTGGAGAGTCATTCACAAAAATATCCTTAACCAGCAAGCCCTCAGCGAAGGGCTCACCCTCATAATTCCTTATGCATAGGGAATCCTTCTTGGAGAACCCTTTTTACAAGGAATATGTAGCCAGGATCCCCCACTGTGGCAGCCTTGCTTCAACATGAATTGGAAAACAAGTGAAACAACAACAGAACAACCAGCCAAATCCGAATAAACCTTGCGAGTATCGGAAAAAAATGATTTCGAAACTTTGGCAGCGTGGGGGTCGTCGGCCTGGGTAACAGGTCAACTGTAGATCTAATTCGCGCGCGCGTGGCGGCCCCTGGGGAGGCCCCAAGCGAGGTGTACCCCGGGCAGACCCGGGCCAACTCGCGGAGGCCTCCCAACAGGGCTCCAGGGGCTCCCAAGAGGGCCCCAAGAGGGGGAATCCGAACTGACACGTCGAACTCTTCCCGAAAGATGGCCCCCGAGACCATCAGCAGGGCCTAAAGATGCCACCAAGAGGCCACAGGCGCAAATGACCACCCAAGGGGCTGTAAGGGGCCTCCAAAAGGCCCCAGGAGGTCCGAGAGGTACCGCCAAGAGGCCGCCGACAGGCATCCCAAGAGACCCCAAGAGGCCTCCAAGAAAGGTGTCCTGTCCACGACCCTAAGGAGCCTCCCCAGAAACCTCCCCAAAGTGCCAAGAACGCCTAAGAAGCCATCGAGAGGCCTCATCCTCATCCTCCCCTCTTCCTCTTCCTCTTGCTCCTCCTCCTTCTCGCTCGCCACGGGCACACCAACAGATAGCACCAGTGATACAATATGGGCCGGCGGAATGAGCGACACTACAAAAGAAATTAAACCTTTGGGCCCCTCCAGGGGTCCCTCAAGGACGAACCCTACGGTTTTGTTTGAGCTTCTCCAGCCTCTCTGCAGCCGTCTTAGCCTCAGGGTCATGTGAAAGACAATCCTCGGCGCGTTTTCTGGGACGAACCCGACGGTACTTTTCAGTTCCTCCAGCCTCTCTGCGGCCGTCCTGGCATCAAGGTCATACGACACAAAGCTCGCCGCTTTCAGTTCCTCAAGCCTCTTTGCGGCAGCCCTGGGCTCGGGGTCATACGACAGAGAGCTCGCTGAGGAACCCAATGTCCTTTCCACCCCACGAGGCCTCCAAGCGGAAGCACCAGCACCAGCACCATAACATCTCTTGTGCAAGCGCGCGGAGCGGCCTCCGCTCCCACAGAGTCTCCAGGATCCAAAATGGTGGAGCGGCGGTGGCTGTCCCCTCAGAGGCGATCAGCAAACAAATGGTAACCAATGAACAATAAAAGCAACACCAAACACAAAAACCCTTCAAAGGGTTTCTACAAACATAATTCGCGATTCAAACATACGAAAGAACACACAACTCGTAATTGGGTCGGCGTCTGGGTCGTCGGCCTGGGAACCCACGACAAGTGAAACATTAACCTGGCGAAGGACCCATAAATATGCAGTTGTGATTCCCCGTCTTTGTGAGCAACGCATTCGGTGGAGCTCCCCATGGGGCCACGAAGCGCTGTGCTGGGTGTGGCGGACGCATGCGCCCCCCTCCCCCCCCACGGGGGCCTTCGGTGGAGCTCCTTGTGGGGCCACGAAACACTGTGCTGGGTGTGGCGGACGCATGCGCCCACCTTCCACTGGGGCCTTCGGTGGGTTCCGTATGGGGCCACGAAGCGCTGTGCTGGGTGTGGCGGACGCATGCGCCCCCCCCCACTGGGGCCTCCGGTGGAGTCCCCTATGGAGCCACGAAGCGCCGTGCTGGGTGTGGCGGACGCATGAGCCACCCCCGCACTGGGACCTGGGTGTGGCGGACGCATGCGCCCCCCTCCACTGGGGCCTTCGGTGGAGTCCCCTATGGGGCCACGAAGCGCTGTGCTGGGTATGGCGGACGCATGCGCCCCCTTCCACTGGGGCTTTCGGTGGAGTTCCCTATGTGGCCACAAAGCGCCGTGGTGTGACGGACGCATGCGCCCCCCCCCCCCACTGGGGCCTTCGGTGGAGTTCCCTATGGGGCCACGAAGCGCTGTGCTGGGTGTGGAGGACGCATGCGCCCCCCTTCCACTGGGGCCTTCAGTGGAGCTCCCTATGGGACCACGAAGCGTTGTGCTAGGTGAGGCGGACGCAGTCGCCCCCCTTCCACTGGGGCCTTCAGTGGAGCTCCCTATGGGGCCACGAAACGCCGTGCTGGGTGTGGCGGACGCATGCGCCCCCCCCCCCCCCCGCGCCCCCCCCCCACTGGGGTCTTCGGTGGAGCTCCATATGGGGCCACGAAGCGCTGTGCTGGGTGTGGCGGACGCATGCGGGCTTTGCTACTGGGACCTTCGGTGGAGCTCCCTACGGGGCTACGAAACCTGTGAGAGGTGTGCCGAAAGCAAAGGCAAGGAGGGGGAGGAGGGAGGAGGGGGAGGAGGGAGGAGGGAGGAGGGGGAGGAGGAAGGACGGACGGAGGAGAGACGCGGGGCACCGTCTCCTCAAAACGAAGACCCAACACCACAGGATGGTTCGGAACAAGTACGAAATTATCCCTGGGAAGGTTCCAAAACAGAGGTTTCGCAACTCGGTCGGCGTGGGGGTCGTCGGCCTGGAAATCCATAGTATCGCCGGCTAAGTTCAGGTCGTGGTTCGGTTGTTTTGGAACCCTCGCAAAAATGAGGTGGTTGTGCTTTGACATGCCTTGGCTTTTCAATGTTTTCCACTAACTCTGGACTCCCAGCGCCACGACCCAAATACCTACTAAGCTACTACTACTACTACTACTACCACTACTACTACCACTACTACTACTACTACTACTACTACTACTGCTACTACTACTACTACTACTACTACTACTACTACTACTGCGACTACTACGACGGCGACGACGATGACGACGACTACTACGACTACTGCGACGACTACGACTACTAATGCAACGACTACTTCTACTACTACTGCTACTACTACTACTACTACTACTACTACAACTACAACTACAACTACTATTACTACTACTACTACTACTACTACTACTACTACGACTACTACGACGACTACTACTACTACTACTACTACTACTACTACGACTACGACTACTACGACTACTACTACGACTACTACGACTACTACGACTACTACTACTACTACTACTACTACTACTACTACAACTTCTACTACTACTACTACTACTACTGCTACTACTACTGCTACTACTACTACTACTACTACTACGACGACGACGACGACGACGACGACTACTACTATACGGCTACTCCGAGTACGACTACGACTGCTACTACTACTACTACTACTACCACTACTACTACTACTATTACTACTACTCACAACAACAACGACAACAACAACTATTACTACGACTAAAACTACAACTACAACTAACGTCTACTACTACTACTACTACTACTACTACTACTACTACTACTACTGCTACTACTATACTACTACTACTACTACTACTACTACTACTACTACTACTACTACTACTACTACTACTACGCCTACTACTCTTATACCTACTACCGTTGCCACTACTCGTTCGAATAATGCCATGACCACTGCTGATGCTCATAACATGCACGTCGGGAATTCGATTAATTTATGTATTGGTTCAACGCGCTGGCATCACGTCATTATCTCTATGATGCAAGCGGGAATTGAACGTTTTATGTACGCTGCTGCATTCAAGCTCCATTGCTGGATGAGTCGGTCACGAAATTCTAAACTGGACTTTCAGCGTTAGACCTCGAGCTTCATGAGGTCGGTTTCCAGCGAAAGATATGGGAGACTCCACGAACGCTAACAGAGATTGATCCTGTTGTGCATGCTCCCTGACCCGTGATGCCAACATCCCAGATAAGACGCGCTCAGCGCGGTCGTCAGAACCAGGATCGCTTAGCAACGAGGATTACTCGCACGAGCATGGTGAAAGTGGCAGCCTTGCTGGGTAGCACTGTTGATGCAACACCCGCATCTACTCATGTTGGCATAAAGGAGAAGGTTCCTGGTGGCAACTGACTCTGGTCCCCAGGACTCTCCCCCAGAACAACCCTTCATCCTGAGCCGCTTCCTGGCGGCCCCGGGGCCCAGGATAGGCCCTGGAACGCCAACGGCGGCGCAAGATCTCCAGGGACCCCCCCAGATCATGCCGGGAAGATTGTCAGTCGCCAGCGCTGCAACTTACAGCCGGCGGCGAGCGAGAGGGGGGAAATTATAATCAAAAGCCCTCGCGCCGCCTGAGAAGCTTTCGGGGAAGGCTCAGGAAACTTCTCAAAAGGCTTGGGGGCTTCCGAGCCTTCTGAGAAGGCCTTCTCCTTCTCACTTTCCCCCTCGCTCGCCGCCACTCACAGGTCACCTCTCCCCTCTGGTCTCAGGTCAGGCGCAGGAGGCGCCGTCACTGCCCATTCCCTGCCGGCGCCGACGGGAGGCGCGCTGCGGCGGCGCCACTCTGCCGGTGCTGCCCCGGATCCTCCTCGTGGGCGCGGGGAAGGGCACCTGGCTGCCCTGCTCCGGGGTGGACGGAATGGGGAGGGGGACAGAGGCCACGAGCGACGTGCTCGTCCATGGCCATGCCCTCGCAGCTTGGACACCGCGAGGCGATTCCATGGGTGCGCGATCTTGTGGCTATGTCCCGCGCGGGGCACCCACGCAGAGCCGCCCGGCATCCGTGGGATCGTGGGCAGGGAGTCCTGGCAGCGAGGCCATTGCCTTGGATATGCTTCCTGCCCACGAAGCGAGAAAAGGGGGTGCCGCGAATCAGCAGCATTGACGGGCGCTTCCGGTGCCTCTTGGCGCCGGAGGGGGCCGTGCATCTCCGTACCCCCACCCTTTCCCACATCCCCCCCCCCTTCGTCTCGGCCTGCGAGAAGAGGGCCGGCTTCCAGGCCTCCAGGGTGGAATGCTTCATGACCCCCAAGTTGCGGTAGACGCGGACGTTGCTCTCGAGGCCCTGCCGTTCACTCCAGCACACGCTGCACGTCTTCAGGCTCCTCTTGGGCCACGCCTGGAACCCATCGAATACGCTGAAGATGCGAGTAGCGATCTCAGGACTGACCGCATTGACGAACCCGTAGCCGAGAGTCTGGCTCGTCTTGAAATCCATTGGTAGGTCTGCCACCGCGCTCGTAGCGGTTCCTATTCCTCGGGCCTGTGGGTATGCCCCCCCGCGCAGAGCGCCCAACATACGCGCAGCTGGTGGACCATACCACGTTTTTAGCACGGCATTACGGGTCGGCAACGGGGGTGCATGCACCCCCCCGGCCCCTCCTCCTGGCCCCCACCCAGAAACCCCCGGCCCCCGCGTGGCCGGATGCGCGCGGCCAGCGCAACTGGATACACCAGGTCGTACTGCCCTTGAAAGCCATGCGCGTCCAAAAGCTTCACGAACATATCCCGCGTGAGCAGGTACGGCACGTTGCGGAACAGCAGGGTGGTGCGCAGCTCGGCGGCCGGGGACGACGGCGACTCGCCGAGGCTCGCCGACGGAGTACGCAGCGCGGGCGCTGACCGCGAAGTGGGGAAAAGCTGGCGTGGCTCCTCGGAGTAGGGGAGCACACACACACACACATGCACGCACAGACACCGCCCAGCCTCCCCAGGCCAACGCTGAGCTCGGATCATGGATCATGGTGCGAATCGGCCATCGGCCAGGCCGGGGAGCCAACCACACTCCGGGATCTGGGCATGCCAAAGGAATGTTCCCCTGTAGGCCTCGCGGTGGTGCACGGCGGGTTCACGTCGCGACGCCGAGGGCTCTGACGCCGCGTGGATCGCTCAACCTCGGATAATCGGCCCTCCAACAGCGCAAACCGATCGGCCGATTTCAGGCCAACTGCGAGGCTCAACCTTTTACGCCAACGCTAGGTCGACACTGCGCCGGCGCGGCGCGAACCTGCCGTACACCCAGACCTCGCACGCTGTGATTGTCCACAACGGACCCCCAGATGTCTCCGCGGCCCTCCCCCGGGCCAAGTGTTTCAGTTTTAGTCGTCGCTTAAAAGACCTACTGAGATAAACTTTGGCTCTGCCAGCAGACCTTAGCAGATTTGGAATTAGTTGCTAAGTATGTATGTTGTAACTATATTAAAAGCCCGCCGATCCTGTCGGCGTGTGGAAGACGTATCCTGGTCTCGTCATCTTGCGTGGGTCGTCGTCGCCCTCGAGATCGTCACGTCGGCTCCAAGAGGGGTGGTCGGCTCCCCTTGGGGAGGGGAACTGCCCACGACACCGCCACGTCGGCTCCAAGAGGGGGAATGGTAAACTCTCCCCGGGCGAGGGGAGCGGCCGCGACCCGGGGGGGAAGCCAATCTGTTCCCCCCCGGACACGGGGGGGAAGCCAATCTGAGCAACGCCGTAATTAGCTTACTCGAAGGGAAGCACCTTCCTGCTTATCCCTTTCCCCCGAATGGGCGGGGGGTGGGGGGAGGGGGGAGAGGGAAGGGTGTGGAGGGGGGGGTGGGGGTCGCACCCGGATACGCGGGGGGGGGGGGGGGCACTCGGGAGGCCCTCCTTTGGGAGAGGGGAGCGGCCGCGACGCGCATGGGAGCGGCCGCGACACGGGGGGGAAGCCAATCTGAGCAACGTCGTAGCTTACTCGAAGGCAAGCCCCTTCCCTTTTATCCCTCCCTTCCCCCCGGGGGGGGAGAGGGGGGGGGAGGTCCCACCCGGATACCACGGGGGGGGGGCACCTGGGCGGCTCCCTTCGGGGGAGGGGAGCGGCCGCGACACGGAGGGGAAGCCAATCTGAGCAACGTCGGTGTTTACTCGAAGGGAGGTTCCCGAAAGGGGGGTCCCGGGTCAGAATGCCACCCTCCCGGGGCCCATGGGCCGCCCTCTCCCTCCCATATCCGTCGAGGACCCACTGGCCGTAAGGCCTTCGCAATATGCTGTAACGCAGTTGTACCTATGATGTACCTGCTTAAGCGAATTAACTGACTCAACACGCTCCGATGCAAGTTTGGCAAACAATTTAATCCCTGCACGACGTTATGTGCTTGCCGAACCGTTTACACGTTTATGTTAAAGGTGGATCCAAACGTTATGTCAACGTTTACAATGTTTAACATAAAACGCTACACGGGCTTAGCATCGACCGTCAACGCAATTCATGCAAACTAAGTACATGTATAATAACATGCAAACGTGGAGTCACAGCATGGCTAAAATCAGACTGATCGGTTCCACCATAGACACTTCAAGAGACAACCTGTGACAAAACACACGCCCACATGAATCAGTTTAGCACTTACGGTAAACATGCATGTGGACAAAGCATGGCTATAGGCATTATTGTTGTGACACCTTCTGTCCTGCGACGCGTGGCCCATGTAGTTCCTTCCAAGTTAGCAACGGGGAGACAGCGGATCAGCTATCCTCGTAGCAGGCAAACAAGTTGCAGTGTCACCAATGCTTCAACGTATGCTAGCGTGTGTTTGGAAGGGAGGAGGGTCAGTCAACACCACGCAATGTGTTTGTTATGCAGAACGGTGGGCAGTGATTGATACATACCATCGCCCTGCTTTGCGCCCAAGGTGAAGAACTTTCGGTGTTGGCGCGCTTGGCGAAGGCGACGACGTTTGATTGCGACGACGACGACGACGGCATCGCTAACGATGACTTCCATGTTTTTGCCAAACTCATCCTTTCGTGTTTGGTCCTCGCTTTGAAGAGACAGCGCCCCGCGTCCCTCCTCTGCCGTTCTTTACCCCCCTCCCTTTCCCCATTCACATCATCGCATTGTCGTCGTCGTCGCCATCATCCCCATCGCCGTTGTCGCCACCATCATCATCATCATCATCATCATCATCATCATCATCATCATCATCAGCATCATCATCATCATCCATTTCGTCGCACCCATGACGCGCTTCGCGGCCCCGTGGTGAACTCCACCGCAGGTCCCAGTCGGAGCGGTTCCCTGCGTTACCCCCCACCCCGCTCCGCTCATTTCGGCGCGCCCCTCCCGCCGAAGGTCCAAGTGGGCGCGGTCACATGCGCCCCCCAAAAAACACACACACACACGCGCACACACGCACACTTGTTTCGGCACACCCCTCGAACGTGTATTGTTGCCCCATACAGTGAGCTCCACCACATGTGGGTGCGGCTACATGCGTTACCCCACCCATGTCTTCGGCACACCCATCGCACCTTTCGCTGACCCGATGGAGCTCCACCAAAGGTTCCACTGGGCGCGCTCACATGCCCCCCCCCCCCACACACACACACCACCCACGTCGGCCTCCCCATGTGTGGGGGGGCCCACCGGAGGCCGCAGTGAGTGTGATTTCACGCCCACCCCGCCGCACATTTCGGCGCTGCCCTCGCGCGCTTCGTGGCCCCGCGGGGCCCCGCCAAAGTCCCGCGGCAGCCGCAGGCGCCGCCGCCCTCGCACGTGATTCTTGCAAACGGGCCACCGCCTTCGCAGATAGTTCCCTCGAAGGCTGCTGCGGGGCCGCCGCCGACGCGCGCCCCCAAGGCCCCGTTCATGGGCACCCCTTGAAAGGCACAGGCCGCATTAAGCTGTTTAGGTTTGCTGATCAGCCCGCTCGCTCTCGAGCCCGCTCTGATCTGAGTTCGAACATCCTGTTCAGGGCTGCTCTCGAGCCCGCTCGCAGGTTCTGGATTGCCAGCTGCTGGTTGCGTTAGATATTCACATTGGAGAGTCTTATAAAGGCTATAGCTCTATAGGGCTTCCATGTAGTTTAGGGTTGTCAGTCGACCCCGCCTTCCCTCAGCACTTGAACTAAGTAGTTCAAGACTTTATGCGCGCCCCGAGTCTCGGGGGGAACGAAGGGGGGGATAGCAAAGGGTAGGATAGAGAATCAGCTCGCGTGGCTGATGTGCCCAGCGCCTCAGGCACCGGGAGGCGCCCACGCAACGAGGACTGGGCCTGGCGGCGGGGCCGAAACAAGCTGCATGCAGCAGATTTCGTAACCCCACCGTTCCCTATCCCCCCTTTCGTTCGGTCCGAGAGTCATCTAAATTTCGAGCCTGATATCGCTGCGCATGCGTCGCTGTCAGATTCGCCCGCCCGCCCCCCATGCATGAGTTTTCCAACGAGGAACCGCGGCAGGGGGGCGAAAGGAAGACGGGGGGGGAGGGGCGAGGGGGGGGAACGAAGAGGAGGAGATTCGAGCTTCGAGGCGTGAAGGTTCCCAACCATCAACCAGCGGGGTTGGGTCGTCGCTTTGAAGAGCTGCAGCGCCGCGTTTTCCTCCGCACCCCCCCCCCTCCGCCCCGCCCTGGCCCATGTCCTCGGCGCGCCCCTCGCGCAAGTCGCAGCCGCGCCACCCGCGGCCAAGGTGGGGAAAGCCGCGCGGCACCACCGCCCCATTTCTACGCCCCCCACGCGCCTCGCGGTCCAATGCGGGGCCCCGCCGAATGGCTCATTGCAGCGGGAAAGTTCGCGTGGCACCGCCGCCCCATGTCGGCGCGCCCCTCGCACGTCTCGCGCTTCGGAGCTTCGCCTGCGCGGCCCGAGTGGGGGGGGTCGCACGGGGCCGCCGCGACAGACATGTCGGCGCGCCCCTCGCACGCTTCGCGGCCATGCATGGGGTGCACAACCTATGGCGCCAGCGGGGAGACTTGCATGACGCCGCGCACAGCCCCATTTCGGTGCGACGGGGAAGTTCGCGTGGCACCGCCGCCCCACTTCGGCACACCCCTCACGCGCTTCGTGTCCCTGTATACACCTCCCCAGCGAGGAAGTTCGCATGGTGCCGCCGCCCCATGTCGGCGCGCCCCTCACTCGTTTCGTGGCCGCATGGGAGTCCCACCTAAGGCCCCATCGAGACAATTTGCATGGCACCGCCGCCCCATTTCGGCACACCCCTCACCGCGCGCCTCGATAGTGAGCTCCATCTAAGGCCCCATGCAGTGGGACAGGACGCGCCCCAACGGTCGTCCCGATGGTTGTCCCGATGGATGTCCCGATGGTTGTCCCGATGGTCGTCCCGATGGGTGCCTCCCCCCTTCCCACCAAACGGTTAAACGGGGACAGAGCCGTTGCGTGCGTTGGCAGCCATTTTGGCTTCAGGGGTGTTTGCGCTTGCTCCATGCTGTCCTTGCCAGCTGTGCTTGCTGACACCGTGGCGATCGCCACCGTTGCTGCCTTTCCTCGGACCGTCGTGGCGTACGCGTACAAGAACGACGACGTCGGACCTCGCCATCACCATGGCTGCATCTACCTCGACGGCGGCAGCAACGCTGTCCAATGGAATTGCTTTGGCAAGGTGACGCCCCGGCACGGTTCGTGGGATGAGTCCGCCAGATGGCCAGCTCACGGTGACGTTCGATTGCATGGCGGGCAAGCGTCGCTGGCCGCGCGCGAAGTCTTCGGCGCCCTTCATCGCGCCGCCTTGCGAGTACAAGGGGCACGGCTACAAAGGCCGCGGGGTGATGGCGGTGCCGTTGGCAAAGTTCCAGTACACCGAGGGCTCTGACACAATGGAGTTCGTCGACCCGAAGGTTGAGACCACAGTGCAAGCGCAGCCGCGCCCCGTGTTTCGGCCACCTGGCCAAATTGCGCCCGC